GGTCGAGGCAGATGGCCGCCTGTCCTGAGCCTGGTTCTGCTGGAGGTTTCTTCCTGATTAGCAGGGAGTTTTTCCTCTCCACCGTTTGKTCAGGATGGGAGACTGTGATGAAGTGATTCAACACAATCTGCTGGTTTGTTCTTTAGATTGTTCTTCTTTATGTACAGTGCCCTGAGACAACATACGTTGTGACTTGGCGCTATATAAATAAACTGAATTGAATTGAATTATCTTTGTAAAACCTCAGAAGAACTCTAACTCTTGTAAAATATCTGTAATATAGAAAAAAATAAAACAATAAGAAAATACTTTTTACTAATCACTGAAAATAATAAGTTTTGCTGCTCTGGGAGGTAAAGCTATAATATCTGTTCCCTAAAGAGTTAATGTTCAGGGGAGGGAGGGGCTAGTTGTGTTGAGCTGGGCAGCCTAGCTGGGACAGAGAAGAGACGGAGGAGCTGTGGGGTTTTTTTTGGGCCCAGCAAGTTGAAGCTGCCCCATCCTGTTTTTTTTTTTTACGTATTGTTGAACTCTAAACATGTTTTAGATGACTATGACTCTTTTTCACGCTGAGAGTTATTACGATAGCTTTTTAGCTTTACTAATTTAGCACTGCATGTCGACGTCCGCTCTGAGTAAACAAACAAAGCTAACCTGGCGGGGAGGCATGTAAAGCCTGGCAGCACGCGGTGGGAATTTATTGTTTTTTATCGTGAGATGACAAATTATTACTATGATGAATGTCTTAGACGGTATATCGCACATGATAACATATCACCCATCTCTACAGCACGCCCCCTCAAAATTGACACATCTGCGACATTGTGCTGTGTGATGAAACAACACATTTCAGAGTTTTACCAGTCTAAGGCACACCTGTGCAGTAATCATGCTGTCTAATCAGCCTCTTGATATGAAACACCTGCAAGGTGGGATGGATTATCTCTGCAAAGGAGAAGTGCCCCCCTAACACAGATTTACACAAATTCTTGAACAACATCTGAAGGAAGAAGGTCTGTCGTGTTCATAGAAAAAGTCTTAGATCTTTGAGTCAGTGAAGGAATATAAAGACTTACAGCGAGCAACGAACTTGTAGGAGGAAATAGCTCAGATCCTGGGTAAGGTAAGTTCTTTTTAAAGCTAAAATGCAAACCATCTCTTCCTCCTCGTCCTTGACATCGTGACTGAAATTGCGAGAAATTAAAGAATTTGTCAGGCGGTCAGTACGCTGGAGTATTAAGTCTCAAACATCCATGGACATAATGTGCAGAGTGCGTGTGGCTCATGGACCGCACACAGTATGCCCGAGCAGTGATGGGCAGCACTAATCCAAAAATTAYCTCCGCAATTTCTAAAGCGCTTATGAAAATATTTAGGTTCGTAACTTCAAAAGCGCTTATGCCATAGAAAAACTAGCAGAAGCTAAATTTAAGCACAAGCTTAATTTGARACTTACTAGCTGGCAACAATTCATGTACAATATATGCACAACACTGCCAACTAGCGGTGTATGAACCCTTTTACAGCTTATTCCTACAACTGCCGATTGCTGGGGATGTGATTTCCTGAAACAGACCTTTGGCTCCTGGTGTAAAAATTAAAAAGTTGTTGAGGATTGCTAGTTCGGCTGCTTCTTTGTCTTTTTCTTTTGTTTGTTGTAGATTTTTCATTAAAGAAGCATCAATAAAGTAATTTTAAAACTGTTTTTTGGAAAACTGAAGCGATGCATTCTGGGTACATGACGGATTTGATTTGTGACGGGAAACGAAAGCACGGAGTACAGGAAACTATCTTCACTTCAAAATAAGAGCTTGGATTTTAAAGTTTTCCATGTAGTTGCTCCAGTTGACCACTAGATGTCAGTCTTCATCAGCATGACATCTTTAAATCATTTCTGCGTCTCTAAACCCGTTGCTTCGACCAATTATGTCAAGTATTGAGCTCCAGCGTTTAAACTTTATTATTTTTTTTAAAAAAGGAGCTCCAATTGTAAGGTAAAATAAATCAATGCATACAAAATTTTAGTATGGATTACAAACATTAACTGTTTTTGCTGGGAAAGGGAGTTCTAAACACTGCCTTGGGAAATGAGAACCCTGACCGAAAGCAACAGTCAGCAAGGATGTGTAGGTTTCCAATAAGTGTWTTTATCTGGGAGGGGTGCTGTTGGATAGATCACATGTGTTGTGATTCTTTGACAGCCATACCTTCTGCTGTTCAAAATAACYATGACTGSTAGATAATTAGTTATTAGCAGTACTGCATTTTAATTTTAGAAAGTGCAAATCCACTTTTGAATTATAAAAATTAGTAAGACCGCTAAAGCGCAAACAAAATACTTAGGTCCGCAATTAGCAGATTTGCGCTTTAGTGGACTGATGCCCACCACTGCGCCCAAGAGCCTTTAGTCTATAAGGGATGAACACCCCCGGCTTATAAGGCCCACTTGATGTGTGGGTCTGTGTGTGCACACAGGTCTGGTTCTATGTTGGACCATGTGTATTTTGATTGAACCTCCCAGGCTATACAGGCCAGCATTCATGCCCATGATGTATGACTGCAGTTCTACCTAAAATAACTTCAGGCTTAATACCTAAAGGTCACCTACCTCAGGTATGGCGGTACCAATAATAAGCCAAGCTTTCTTGCCCAAGAACAGAAAATAGTTGCACAACAGCACAGCGTGTTCTTCCTCGTCGCCTGCTAACAGAGTGAGGAATTGCTAAAAACAAAACATGAAAACAAGTTACTGTAAGAGATACGTTTCCCCTCCTCTGTGCTGTACCYGGCATTTCAAATGAAGCCTCACTCACGTCGCAGGTGCTCCACAAATCACAGGTTCCCGAGAATGAAACCTGGTCTGGCAGAGACGGGATGAGGGAGACGTATCGAGCAACCAGAGTCTGAAAGAGCACCGAGAAAAGGAATGAACCCAAATACAAACAGAAGCACATTCACTTTCAGCACAATCCCACCAACCGTGGCTTCCTGGGGGTTATTAGGAAATGCATCGAGGAACTCCTGCGGGGGCTTGAGTGGTCGGATATAGCGCGTGATAAAAATGGTCTTTCCATTAAGGTCTATGACTCTGGTGATGCAGGGTCGGTCCGGGTAGCTCTGAGCTGCAGCCGCCTCAAACGACTCTGAGGCCTGCAGTAATCGCTCATCCTCCTGACTCTCAAACTGCAAGAAAATATTACAGCAGATGAAAGTCCAGGGAAAAAATAATTAGTTTATAATAAAATAGATGCTGTCAGGTACATATGTATGAAAAAAATACAATTTGAGCGCTAAAGTGGACAATTACCTTCKCTTCCTTTATCTAAAGTATGCAGCAAAGCAAAATCCAACAAATGACAGAATGATGATGAAATACATAAGTGCATATGGAAAACAAGCAAGAAATTAATTAAAAAATAAGCCATGACAGGTTTGTTAAAATATACAGACAAAAACAAAATTATTCAGTAAAAAAACGCAGCAACTCAACCAAGCACAAGGCAAAGTACCCTCCTAGTARTTGACTCACCTTCTCCCTAATCGACTCTCCAGGCACCAGCTGAGGCTCGATGGTGATGAAGAGTCTGAGAAACGTTCCTTCACAGGGTTTCCGGAAATGATCGTAAACACCGTAACTGCCGTGCACCTTGCTGTACCCCAGCAGCACGGCTGGAGTGTTCACTTTAAACGCTCCGTCAATCTGCCGCACACAGAAACGACCAGTCAGACACAAGTTAAAAAAGTAACCTAAAACGYGGAGTAAAAGCTCACCTTGGACTGAGAGTAAATTGTGCTGAAAGGAATCTTGACAGAGCCCAGCCAATGCTTCTCTATCTGCGTGTGAATAGAGGACCTCCTCTCTTTGTTCATCTGTGGAGCAAAGTTACAAATGATTCAACGGTAGGAGCAGCTCTGGATAWGAAAAGTGAGGGGAGAGAGAAACGTCAGATGTTTACGCACTGTTCCAGTTTCATAAACCACTTCATCAAATATGTTGATGAACACCTCCTCTTTGACCGACTGCAGGCTGGTGGTGCTGTAGTCACCGTTTGGTGCGCTGCAGAGAAAAGGTTCAACATTTGTCAGCGGACTCTAGTTTGATTCTGTTTATTTATTTTCACTCTGAAAGCTCCCTCAGCTGGGCGGTAAGGCGTGGAGGTTTGGAGTTGCTCACCTGAAGGGCAGCTGCAGCTCCTCGTTCCAGCTCGGGTTAGGTCCCTCAGCTGTGGTCGTCTGAAGAACTGTGCGCTGAAACGAAACCTCCACAAATGGCCTCACTTGTACCTGTGTTGCATAGATGAGGTGCCGTTTGCAGTGTTGTATAAAGTACCACAAAGTGATACTTGAGTAAAAGTACAAGTATCTTATCGTTAAAATACTTTGGTAAAAGTTAAAGTCTTCTCTAAAAATATTACTTGAGTAAAAGTCTTAAAGTATCTGATATTTTTTTGTACTTAAGTACCAAAAGTAAATTTCTGACACAAAATCTACTTAAGTATTAAAAGTAAAAGTACTGAGTAAAAGTGAGCAGTTAGATTTTCCAAAATGACATTTATTGGGAGGTGACTTCTCCAAAAAAATTTTTTTCTAACGGCGTGCAGCTGTGATGGGTTGTGTACAAGCTAATAGTGTGTCAGAATGGTATATATTTATACTTCTCATCCAACCACAATTAAACTCACTCTATCAGGAGAAACAACTTATCAGGATGGTTTTTTTTAAGTAATAACAACTCAGAATAAAATGGGAGTAACGACTTTCTACTCAAGTAAAGTACAAATAACCAAAATTTCTGCTTAAGTACAGTAACAAAGTATTTATACTTAATTACTTTACAACTTTACTTTACAACAACCATTTGTAAAGTTACCGTCAAAAATTACCAGCAATATTTTGCTTTATTCAGCCTTTCATAAGTGGAAAAAATAGGGGTTTGTATTCAAAGTCAGATTTTTACCATGTTATTCATACATTTATTCATGTCATAGTTCCAAATCACATCACATGGCTATCGTTCACACCTAATTAATACCTATTGTTAACAGGGGGTG